CCCCCCCCCCCCCCCCCCCCCTCCCCCCTTGAGGAACACACGCTTTGGGCTTTCACCCCAAGCCTCCCTTAGTATCAGGAGTTAGTCTCTGGGACAAACTCAAAACTTACTAAATATGGAATATTCCTAGATTCCAAATTTGGACACAGGACGAACACCATTGTGTTCAGAACAATCTCTACATTCCATAGATATGCCAAATGAGCAAATCTGGACACTTTCCATAAATAGCATTTGGGACCGAAATGAGACTAACACAAAGGGCATGATAGCGAGGGTGTTTGGCAGATACAGTAAGCTATCATCTAGCGATATTGAGGGACCAATCTCAATATTGCGGGAGTTCTTGATACTAGCAAGTGCAAGCCAATGACAGGAGTTTCTCAAACCAGGCCGAGTATGCTCAGCAAGAAACACATAGGGTTCCTATCTTATGTTTATCCGATTTAAGTACACGATCATTGACCAATTTCTCAACTAGCCCAAGTGGGAAACTGATAATGGGTCCAGCAATATTGACCTCCTGCCATTGTGGTAGTAAGGTAAGAGTGTCCATAAGGACTAGCCGACAGGTAACTTTCAATACCCGAAGTCATATTCGTGACAAATATAAAACTATTTTAGAGAAGATATATATCTAATGATATGAATACTAATAATTGATAAAATTTAAAAAATCACTTTAATAAAAATAAAGTAATAAATTATCTAGATGATTATAAATAAAAACATAAATTTAATGACATAAATATAATTATAGATAAAATAAATTAAAAATATTAATAATTATATTTATATTATAAATATATTTTACAGCTGAGAATATTAATTTTTAAATATAAAATAAAAAATATGAATATATAGAATATGGAAATTAAATACAGAAATTTGCATATCAATTAGCCTAAAAACCCTCTCAAAATAATGAAAGATTATCAAGGTTCTCTTGTAGACATGTCGGGATCTGGTGAAACATCAAGAGGAGGCATTGGTGGATTTGTATATGGTATTAGTTATTCTTGATCCCTTTATACAAAGCGTTTCAATTGCTGCACATGCACAATTTCTAAAGGATCGACCTGTTAGACATCATGCCGAACCTCATAAACTTGTGGTTCAACTTCCACAACACCCAATATAGTCCTTTCCACTAAGCAAGGAGCCTTTTAGATAAATCACATACTGTAAGATAGGGAAAATAAACTAACACCAAATCATCCACTTTATACTCCGCAAGTAGATAATGATGGGAGTTGTAATGCCATTGTTATCCCACTTGTACGTGGTTTAGGTGTTCAGCAAACTCTGCTTGGATAAGTGGAAGAATGCTCATCAAATACTAATCTCACAATCTAGCATCGGCAACTCATGGCAACTGCAAAGGTAAACTTAACTCCATTGGTAATATTGGATCATGACCATATAAGAGTTTATATGGTGAAGCGCCAACAGAACTTTACACCCCTATGATATATGCATACCAAAGAGACAGCAAATAACCATCCCAATCCGAATGCTGAAAGTTCACATACTTTGCAATCATCTCTTTGAAAGTCCAAATAAACTATTCCACCAAACCGTCTAACTGTGGATGATAAAAACTTGTGAAAGTATGGTGTATCCCCAACTAAGACTCAAAAAATGAAATGCCTCAAACATAAATGCGGGATCATTATCCAAAAGAATCTGCTCTGGACAAAAATATTGGAACACCACTCGATTGAAAAAGTATTCAATAGTAGTTGTAGAGGCACTAGCAAGAGCACCAACTTCCACCTAACGAGTCAAATAGTCAAAAGCAATAATAACATATTCATTGCCACCAGTCGATCGTGGAAAAGGTCCCATAAAATTAAACACCACCAACTCAAATGGACGGGAAATTGCAATTGACTCCAACCGTCCTTCCGCGGCACAAGTGGGAGTATTATGAGCTTAGCTCCAAATGCATCTATGCACATACTAGATAATATCATGTCACATGTCTAGCCAATAGAAAGACTTGTGCAGCTTCTCAGTCACACGACAATATCCCATATGCCTACCTAGAGTAAAAGAATCATAGTAGGCATGGAGAAACCATGGAATAAATATGGAATGTACCACCAGCCATAAATGATCATCAAAATCCGTTTCCACAAAATAAAAAAAGCCATCTTCAAGGTGATATTGAGAATATAAATGCCGGAACAGCAAGTTATTAGCAAGTGATGCAGGATTCTCAAACCCTTCTCGAAGCCTTTGAATCCATGGCTCAAGTTTTTGAACCTCGCGAATTTCATCAGGAAAAGGTAGATCTTGCTCTACACCTTGTGGACATTAAACATTAAGTACAATAACCATCGATAGCACCAACTTCCATCTAGCGAGTCAAGTAGTCAAAAGCCATAATAATATACTCATTGCCAATAATCGATCGTGAAAAAAGTCCCATAAGATCAAACGCTACCAACTCAAACGGATGGAAAATTACAATTGACTTCAACCATCTTTCTACAGCACGAGAGGGAGTATTACAAGCTTGACACCAAATGTAGTGATACACATACTAGATAACATCACGTTGCATCTTTGGCCAATAGAAAGACCAACATAGCTTTTTGGTCACATGACGATATTCCATATACCCATCTAGAATAGGAGAATTATGGTACGGAAAAACCGTGGAATAAAGATTAAAGGCACCACCAGCTGTAAATGATCATTATGATCCATCCCCACAAATAAACAAGACTATTTTCAAGGTGATATTAAAAATGTAAATGCCAAAATGGCAAGTTATTAGTAAGTGATACAAGATTCTCAAACCCCTCTCAAAGCCTTCAAATCCACGACTCAATCTTTTGAGCCTCACGAACCTCATCAAGAGAAGTAGGTCTTGCTCTATACCTTGTGAACACTAAATGTTAAATACAGAAACTACCAATAACACATAATCCTTGTCTAGAAAATTCACAGATGTTGGAACAATAGACTTGTCAAAAACATAAGAAGAAAGTGAAGAAGAAAGAGGAGTTTAAGAAAGGGCATCAACATTAGCCATAGAACTCCCCAAGTGATGAACAACATCAAAATTATATATTTGAAGCTTCAAAGCACACTAAGCAATATGACCAACCAGGTTTTTCCACTTCAATAATGAAGTAACGGTAGCATGATCACCTTTTAGTAACATTCGAGAACCATGTAAATATGCATGAAATTTCTTAAAACCCCAAACTGCTGCTAAACACTCCTTCTTTATCATGGAATAATTCACCTTTGTTGATTGTAATGTATAGTTGATGTATGCAATGGGATGGTGCTGACTAAATACACTCGGGCTCTTTTGCATCAACACACCTCCAAAACTAATATCAGAAGCATTTAGGTGCAAAATGAAACGTTAAGTATATTAAGGATATGCCAA